TTTTCACTGAGTTCTGTCACTAGTTAGCTAACATATCGTTAGCTTCATAGCATAAGTGCCTAAGTCATTTTTTGGTCAAATTGCATGTGATATTTAAAAATATGCATGTGATATTTAGAAAATTAGTTTTTTCTTGTTTTCCGAAAACACAAAAAAATGACTTAGGCACTTATGCTATGAAGCTAACGATATACTCGTGCAACTCTATTAGCACCAACCAACTAGTGACATTTTGCACAACACATAGATCATGATAGTTATCACGGGGAAAGTTATCTATAGATACCAACATGTTTGTGTATGACACACATGAAGACCTTTCAGCACATAGTGAGAGTGGCAACTTGCACAAAAAAAATGACTTACAAAACTAAAACAAAACCTAGAAACCCTTGTCCCTAACTTTTAATAACTTCTATTTCTCTCTTCCAATCTCAAGCATCGGATGATAGACAAGGTAAAGTGGGCCGCGTATGCTTGTTTTTACACACATTGAAAGGGGTCCCCTTGGACTGATTTTACATTTACAGTCCTTCTTTTCACTGAGTTCTGTCATCAGTTAGCTAACATATACTGATGCAAATGTATTAGCACCAACCGACCTACCGGTCATAATTTTTTGTACAACACAAAGATCATGATTGTTACCACGGTGGACATTATCTATAGGCACCAACATGTTTGTGTATCATTCTTTAAACTAGTTTTGTCTGAATGATTGTGTGTATTTTATCTGTAAACTATAACATTAGTCAGTTGTGGTGTAAATAACAGCTGTGGGAACATTTCTCACATGGACACATGAAGGACACTTGTTTCTGAGGGACACCATGCTCCTCTTGTTCCTTCATTCTTTGTAAAGCTTTCTCATGTTTCTCCTTTCAGTCAGATTTTGTAAAGTAAGAGCACAAAATTACACAAAATAACTTTTATTAACTTATTTTTCTTTCTTCCAGCTTTAGAATTCGTACTCAAGTGGTTGAAACGCAAAGAAGGTAAAGTGGGCCATATATACTTGTTTTTACACACATTCATTTCCCATATGGAAAAGATATTTATAAATCTTATAAAGTTTGTATCTGTCTTGTGTGAAACTTGTATGAAAAGCATACAAGAGTGAAAACAGATATAAGATCCCTTGAAAAATTATGTAATGAAACTTGTATGTTTTGGATACTTAGTAAAACAATATATGAAAGTAATGAGAAAGTGGCCACTTTCATGAGTAATCACATATAGGTTTTTACTATTTCTTTTCCATATGGGTTAGCATGACAAAAGTGATCCCTTTGGACTGATTTTGTATTTACAGTTCTTGTTTTCACTGAGTTCTGTCACTAGTTAGCTAACACATATTAATGAAGGTCTATTACACCCAACCATCTGGTGATGTCATGTGTTGTACAACACAAAGATCATGAGAGTTACCACGGGAGACATTCTCTATAGAGAGCAACATGTTTGTGTATCATTAAGTAGTTTTATCTCACTGATTGTGTGTATTTTATCTGTAAACTATAACATTAGTCAGGTGTGGTGTCAATAACAGCTGTGGGAACGTTTCTCACATGAACACATGAAGGACACTTGTTTCTGAGGGACACCGTGCTTAGTAAAGCAGATCAATGGTCAGGTACACCTCCACACATGCACCACCAAAAAAAAGAGAGGACCACCTTCATGTCCATAACCACACTATGTTAGCAGATGAGCTCTGTGCTGTCCCTAAAAACACAGAGCGACTTTAAAAGCAGCTGATCTGATCAAAGCCTCTGCACCACCAGTCCTGTTACAGTTACTGTGTCAGCAAGGAAACAACGTTTTCTCTCCTTAATGAGTAAAATGTCATCTCATCATTAGTCTCTCTTCAGTTTTTTGCTTGATTGTTTTAAACAGAAAGGTTTCCCAACTTAACAGTATGCTGATTTTCTAACACTGGAATATTTCTAACATTTTGAGTTATTTTCCAGTGTATTGTATCTCAAATTATAGCGTCATAATGATTACAGGACATCAGATTGCTTGTTCTTATCACTTAATAATGCAGAGTTCATCATATAGAAATTAAACAACTTTAGTTGTGCTATTTGAACACGTTGCCTGCCTGCAGCACTAAAGGACTCCGTGAGAGACGTCTGTCTCGCCCTAGCAGCACCTGTCCCTGTCCTCCTCTTCAGTTCGCCTCAACATAAGCTCGTCATATTCTGTGATATGATTTACTCTGTTTGATGTTGCCACAGCCATACATGCCAACCCTCCCGATTTTTCCTGGAGAATACCGAATTTCAGTGCCCCTCCCAAAAATCTCCCGGAGCCACCATTCTCCTGAATGTCTCCCAATTTTCCACCCGGACAACAAAATTGAAAAACCATATTGCAGAATTCATAGCGCGGCCCAGCCAATTCCAGTTTCCAACAATGGCTACTACTTCTGCAGCTACTTAGTTTTAATATCACTCTTATTTCTCTTTCTGGTGAGAATGCAGCTGTGTAAACTTCAAATATCTGAGCCGACCGACACATCGTCTTCAAACCCCCGCGGCCTTTCGCTACTCAGGTTAAACATGATATATGAGTCACTTTGATAACTCAATAATGTTATTGTTTGGCTTTTTCAGTGTTTGATTTGTTCGTGAGTAAATCGGTTTGGCTGAGATTAAAGTTTAGATTAAATTAAATTTAACTTTATTAATCCCTCGGGTGGGTTCCTGCGGGTTTTCACACAGCTGAATAAACGACAAACAGAAAATGATTAAACAGAAGTGTGAGACGGTCGAGAGTTTGCGTCATATTTTAGATAAGGAGCAGACAGCAGAGTTTCACTCCACCGAGGGAGCTCGTGACGTACTACCCAGCTTTCTTTAGACCGCCGGGTCCTCAGGTGGAAGCAGCCTCTGGACACCCCCGCTGTTTCCGTGCCGGCCGATAATAACGGTGATTTAACGTATTTTATCTGATAAATAAACCCCGTAAAACGTATTTTACCCCCCACCACCAACGGCCCTTTTGAATGTCTCCCTAGTATGGCCACAACATCTCACTCTTGGAGCACAATTACTCTCCGCCGTTGTCGTAAGTGCGCACGCCAAGGGCCTGCGAGACATTTATACAGCCGTATTGCGCACATGACTATGAAAGGCGGAAGAGGAAGTAGTTCCTTTGAATGTAGACAATCCGAATGTTATAGTTTATTTCCACTGTGTTCCTGTTAATGATAAACTACAAATTTACTAAAATATCGATATTTTAATGTGAGAATCAATTCTAGAACAGAAATGATTGGTATCGGAGGAATCGATATTTCAGGATCGATCCGCACATCACTACTGCTCAGTTTAACAGAGAGGTAAAATGAGAATATTTATTAGGGAAACTCACTGCTACTCTCTGATGTCATGATTAGCACACATGCAGACGACCTTTCAGGACACAGTGATGACTATGGTTAAATTAAACACAATATTCATGATGATGAAGAACATCATGTTGTTATAAAATGTATACTTTTATTTTATGTCCCAGATTAACTGTCTCCCACATCACTCTGTTCCCCTCCTCTTTGACCTTTGTTCCTTCATTCTTTTTGCTTCTTCATGTTTGTCCTTTCAGTCAGATTTTGTAAATTAAGAGAACAAAATAACTTTGATTAACTTTTGTTTCTTTCTCCTGTTTTAGAAGAGGAAAAGCAAGCACAGAAAAAAGCAGGTAAAGTGGGCTGTATACGCTTGTTTTTACACACATTCATTAGCCTGACAAAAGTGATCCCTTTGGACTGATTTCACATTTACAGTTCTTGTTTTCACTGAGTTCTGTCACTAGTTAGCTAACATATACTCATGCAACTCTATTAGCACCAACCAACTAGTGACATTTTGCACAACACATAGATCATGATAGTTATCACGGGGGAAGTTATCTATAGAGACCAACATGTTTGTGTATGATTCTTTAAACTAGCTTTATCTTTATGATTGTGTGTAACATTAGTCAGGTGTGGTGTCAATAACTGCTGTGGGAACGTTTCTCACATGAACACATGAAGGACACTTGTTTCTGAGGGACACCATGCTTAGTAAAGCAGATCAATGGGCAGGTACACCTCCACACATGCACCACCACCACCAAAAGAAAGAAAGGACCACCTTCATGTCCATAACCACACAATGTTAGCAGATGAGCCCTAAAAACACAGAAAGCCTTTAAAAGCAGCCTCTGCACCACCAGTCCTGTTACAGTTACTGTTGTCAGCAAGGACACAACGTTTTCTTTTCTTAATGAGTAAAATGTCCTTTGATCATAATTCTGTCTCCTGTTTCCTACTTTTTTTCTGTGTGATTATTTTTTCAAACAGAAGGACAACATGAGATCATCACCACAAGTGGAGATAACAAAACATATTATTGAGTCTGGAAGTGACGACACAGTTTGGAACAAAATGAAGAGGGTGGAACAATGTTAATCCTGCCATTTATGATTTGATCATATATTACTGATATCTCTGTTTGTAATGATGCACTTTGATTACAAGGACTGTCCTTCACGGACTTACTAAGGCAGTTTTAACATTTATACAGGATTTCTCTGCTCAGTAGATTGATTCAGTGCTGTTATTATAAAATGTATACTTTTATTTTATGTCCCAGATTAACTGTCTCCCACATCACTCTGTCCTCCTCCTCTTTGACCCTTGTTCCTTCATTCTTTGTAAAGCTTCTTCATGTTTGTCCTTTCAGTCCGATTTTGTAAATTAAGAGAACAAAATTACACAAAATAACTTTGACTAAATTCTGTTTCTCTTCTTCGGTTTCAGAATTTTTGACCGTTGTTCCTTCATTCTTTGTAAAGCTTCTTCGTATTTCTCCTTTCAGTCTCAAAATTACACAAAGTAACTTTTATTAAACCCTGTTTCTCTCCTCCATCACTGAGGAAAACTGGGGTTCTGTGTTTTCTCTGAGTTTAACATGTCTACACAGCTAATGGTTTAAATGTGGCAGTGGCTGAAGATTTCTCTTGAGTCTATCATGTCGATTCGGAGTTCAAACAGACAGAAAGCAGGTTGTTGGAACCATATTATGAGATGTGTGAACATAAACCTTTAGTTCATGAAATACTGATATGAAATATTGTGTAATCAATCCCAGACTGTGGTGTGAATAAGCTACACTGTAGTGAAGCAGAGTTTAGGTTCAGGAGGTCTGCACTAAGTGAGACTACGATGAACATCCAGTGAGTTTAACACAGTCTGTAACACTTCCTCTATTTAACAGAAGTTTATTCATTTATTACACATGGAAATAAAAACATCCATAGTTGTACTTTACTGTACCTTAGCACACCTATCCCCCAGGTAAGGGTAAGATCTACAAATGAACAGCTAATGCAAACAAACATTACAGTTTGACAACCAAGAGACTTAAAAGTCAACCAATAAAAAGTACTAACACCAAATTTCTTCTAGGTTTTTTTTTCTCTCGTGTTCAGCAGAACTCTATTAGATTTCAAGAGTCCAACAGAAGTGGACTTTCATTCAGTTGTGCTCCAGGAAATGTTTTTATAAGCTGATCTTCCTGATCTTCCACCCTGAAAAGACTTTGGCTGAGCTGTTTGATTCATCAGGTTTAAGAAGATCCTCACTGTTAATGAAAACATCCCAAAAAACCCCCAGTAATATTCCGGCAGATGGGCTGCCAAAATAATACTGTAAAATAACAGAAAATAACTTTCTCATAAAAATATTTTCAGTAATGAAAATACAGTTTGTTGCCCCAATTTTACGTGGGATTTTGCCTTTTACAAATGCTTTTAAACATTAAATTTCAATGTGATCAAACAACGAAATTACCTATAAACAGAGACAATGAATGCAGCAATATGAATAATAATGCTTAAATTTACAAAAATATACAGTTAATGTTATTTACGCCAACTGTTATTTGATGTAAAAATGTTGTTTATCCAATTATATTTAATGTAATTCTAGAGTATACAACAAAAAAGAACTTCTCTTTCAAAACGTGTCAAAAATTTGTCAAAAAACTAAATATTGGATTTAAAATTACAATTTACTGTTGATTCTAGATAATAGATTTTGTGAATATGTACTGGACTTCCAATTTGAATTAAGTATGCTCCCTGTAAGATTGTTGGCTTTATCTGTAACAAAACATCCAAAGAACCCTTATCAAACAAAACACCTGATTATAATTACATCAAGATTATGTTAATTCTTGTGTATGAGCAGTTTTTACATGTTTATTTTACTTATAAGACATGAGACATGGTTTCAATCATTAACATGGGATTTATTGACAAAAAGATAACCCTTCCTGGACCAATCCAAGAACAACTAACACTTATGCATGAACAAAGGCACAAAAACATCCAATTCAAATGCACATTTGAGCACAAAAAAAGGGGACACTGCCACCTCGAACGTTCATCTGCCTCTCCACATCTGGAACAGCGAAAAGGGGAATAATTGAGGCACATAACCTGCAGGTTTCGAAGTAGCTCTAGCTTTCTGAAAGTCTCACATTTCTGGCTGCTGCTGGCCATTTGCGTTTCCTTGGAGAAATTTGCAATGTAATTATATGCTGTTGGATTATAATATTATTTTATGCCATGTTAGACCCCTAATTAAAGGTTGTGAATTATTATGTAGTTTTAGTTTGCATTATTCTCCTGAATTAGAAGAAGCTGATAACTATTGCATTAGTTAAACTG